TTAGAGTTGAACCCTTTGTGTCTCTCTGGCAAGATGTTCTGCTCCTGAATCAGCTGGGTGGGTCTTGCCTCTAGCCTCTTTGCAGGGAGCTCTGCTTAAGGGTTCCGTGCTGGGCCTGTATGCAGCCTGGGTCAAATGCGGATCCCTGGGCCCCGGGTAGTCTCATTCACTTGCCAGGCCTGTGCTCTGGTCTATTCAGGATCTCGCGGCCTGGGTCGTCTCACTCACTCGCCCGCCTGCACTCTGGGTCTGTTCAGGATCCCGCGGCCTGGGTCATCTCACTCACCGCAGGGCCTGCGCTCTGGGTCTGTTCAGGAACCCGCGGCCCCGGGTCTTCTCGCTCACTCACCGGGCCTGCGCTCTGGGTCTGTTCCTCAACAAGTATATTTAAAGTTATACTTTTGAGAAACATTTATTTAACATAGCAATTTCTTTTTCTTTTTTTTTTTTTTTCCTTTTAAAACAGTGTTTGTGCATATAATCTTCAGAGTAATTTTCAGTCCTAAATTGAGAGCAAAAAGTTTTGACAAAGGCACTATTTTTTACTTTCATATATGTCTTCTAAATTCTCATTTCTGGGGGCCAGTGAGATAGCTCAGAAGTCTAAAGTACTTGCTTAGGTAAGCTTAAGAAAGTGCGCAGGGATGACGGTTTGATCCCTGTACCTCATGCTGCACCAGCCCTTCCCTCAGGTGGGCTGAGCCGGCCACAAAAAAAAAAAAAAAAAAAAAAAAAAAGAAAAGAAAATTCTCATTTTTGTCATGTAAAGACAGTAGGGTCAATTTCAGTTGAGGTTAAGGTTGATAAATAGGAAAGTGCAGAAGGGTTCTGGGGAGATAGCTCAGTGGCATAGGTGCCTGGGTGGCAAGTGTAAGGTCCTAAGTTCGATCCTTGCCACACACACACACATACACATTAGCTAAATATTTATGAAAAGAAATAATGTATTAGAAATGTCAAAGGAAGAAAATTATGATGACATTATGTTAGCTACAGGAATGTAAGGAAAGTGAGAAAAAGCCATTGAGTTTAGAAATTGGGAGACTGCTTTTTGCCTATGTGGGTCAAGTTGCAATGGGAAGCCACTGAGAGAAGTCACTGTTGAATGGAGAATGTTGGTTCACTGGTGCAGGGGCTTCTTAGAAGTAGTGGATGAAGCAGGGATGGTTTTCTAATGATGGAAGCCATTTGCACTGATGCAGAAGATACAGGGAAGAAGAAAAGGTGATGGAAGGTGCAAAGTTTAAGAGAAGTAAAAATAACCAGAAATTTAAGAATTAGTTTTTGGGAAGTCTTTATTTTCTTTGGAGAGTATAGAAAATTGATTATAGGGCCAGCTAAATAGCTCAGCGGATTAAAGCGCCTGCTTAGGCAGACACAGGGACCAGGAGTTCCATCCCCAGGCCTGCAGTGCCGGCCCCACCCCTGGGCATGTTGCAATGGCAATTGAGACTGGGTGTGGTGGTTCATGCCTGTAATCCTAGTACTTGGGAGGCTCTAAACAGAAAAATCACTATGTGCCCAATCTATGCAGTGAGACCCTGTGTACCCTGTACACCTGTTCTAAATACCAAAAAAAAAAAAAAAAAAAAAAAAGATTGATTATAAGAGATAGAGGGGGCTGTTTTAAAATGAGGAAAAGCTAAAGTTAAAGATCTTAGTAATCACATATCACATGGAAATCATGCATAC